ATAATCGGGGTTAAAACATTATTATTAGCTAATTTTCTTGATTTCTTTATTCAAGGTCTGAAACCACAGCAAATGTTTTGGCCTTTGACACGTTTTCAGATGAAAATACATTTTATTCTACACCTTTCTTTTTATTTGGGAAGACCTTCAGCAGTTTAGAATATAAAACAAATATTCAATGTATTAAAACAAATCTAGTTCCTGTTTGAATTGCCGGCAAAAACAAATGATACTATAAAAGACTAAAGAGTATTTTATTTGATGAAGTGAGCTTCGTTGGCATGTGAAACTGAATTTATTGCTAAAAGTTGTATTAAACGCAAAAATATTTTGTAAAAATAATAATTGTAAGTAGTTGAACTTTACATTGGTTCCAGGCCTATAGCAAAACAATTAGATGTAGCAAAAACATTTAAGAAAAAAGTAAATTCCGGACCCACAAAATAATCTTTTAAACATTTGGTTGTTTGATTTTGTATGCCAGACTGCAGTGGTTTAAAGTGACTACCGGTAAGTATATTTACTCAATTACTGTACCTAAGTACAATTTCAAGGGACTTGTACTGTACTTGAGTATTTCAGTGTTTTGATACTAAATTCACAAGCTACCCTGCAGTGTACAAAGTAATTAAAACTAGCTACACATTTTCCAGCTTTGATAAACAGATTAATGCATATATAATTTTTATCAAAACATATTATATATTCTTATTCTGAAATGAGCCAATCTGCATAATGAGTACTTATACTTTTGGGACTTTAAGTATATTTTGATTTATACTATTACTTGACTAGCATTTTCAATACCCAACTTGTAGTTGTAACAGAGTATGCTTACACTCTCACTTCTTCTTTTCTTAAGTACAACATCTGTGCATTTTTTCGACCTTTGCTAGATTGTTAGGTTTCATTATTTTTTGTCTATAAACCCACACACGTTTTGGCCCAATAGGGTTTTGACTATTTCACATTTTTGATGTGTGTTGATAGTGAGGTTCATTTGTTTTACCTTTTGGTGAAGTTTATTGATATGTTTGAGTTATAATAATGCTGTCTCTGGGTTAGTTTATTTAAAGGATAATAAATTACTAGGCCTGAATTAAGGTTTTTAAGTTATTTTGCCTCATCTGTTTCAATCACATGTATTCAAAGTAGGTTGCTGGTTACCATTTCCTGCTGTTCTTCTGCCAACATTGCTCTGCTGCGTTCATGGTCTGTGCACTTTGTCTGCAACCGTCAAAGGTTTCGCTAACGTTAACATTTCCTGTCGAGAAGATTAAAATGTTTCTGCTTCTGAGTTTTACCTGGATTATTGCAGGTAAGACAAATACAATTTTTTTTTTATTACTATTTACAAGTTAGGGTTACACATTTTAACAATTTTAATGGGATTTTATCATGAAACATGCTTTAACGCCGTGTTAAAAAGCGTAACATCTTATTTAACATATGCAGACTTTAGTGTCTTTTTTAATTAATGTAGGAAATATATTACATTTTGACAGTTCATAAAGCTTCTGTTTCTGATGTTGTTTAAATTAAAGCTTCGCCATTTTCTATAGGATTTTAAAGATACATTATTCTTTAAAAATTGACTTCTGCTGGCATTTTACAGCCTAAAGTGTCCACCAGAGTATTGTAGATAATGGCACTTCCTGAAATGTAAATGTTTTGGTATCTTGAAAGCAAAATTGATTAACAACAGCATCTTTATTAGTCTCTAAGCTCAGTTAAAGAAATATTTAGTATTCTCCTTAACATTTAAATCAATCATAATTGCCTTAACATTAGTATTTCTCATGCAAAATAAAGTCTCACCATGTTACATGATCAGATTTTATTTTACTTTATGCTTATGTATCTATGTTTATTTTAGGTCACATTATTGCTGCATAAAATCTTTTTTTAGGTATTTGGCTCTAATGACATTTAAGAAAATGTATTTTTATTTAATGTTTCCTTTCAGGGATTACAGCGGAGATCCGGCCAGCGATGCACTACCGCGTGAAAAACAGCTCAATATGTCTACACATAAAATCATCAGGATATCAAAAAGAGGAGTGGCTTTTTGAAAAGGAGCTTATTGTTTTAAGTAAAAACATCACCCCCATGTACAAGGACAAAGTGTATTATAATCCAACAAACTCCTCCTTGTGTATCACCAAGCTCAATGAGACAGACAGCGGCACCTATACCTTTTCTTTCATTAATTCAGTTTTGAATAGAAAAACTGAGACCCACAAACTGATTGTTGAAGGTAAGTTCTTAATATTTAGTTGACTTTAGTTGGTTATATGGGCTTTACATTTCATTATTTAACATTACAATACGCCTCTTAAGGATACATTTGTGTCTTCAAGACTGGCTTTAAGACTTTTTTTGAACCATCTACGACAAAAACAACATATTTTTATCACCCGCCCCTTTTTAAAATACATTGACCTTTTTGTCTTTGTGGTTTAAAAAAAGTCTACAGTCCAGTTAACAAATAAATATCAAATGAAGATCCAAGTAAAACTATCTATATCACCATTTTTGCATCCTTTTGCCTTTGTACATCCCTGTTTATTGTAAAAGAATACTTTCACATACTCTATAAGGAGTTGTATTTCCCCCCCTTATTTAAGCCACTTTGGTTGTATAGGTTTTCGGTCTTATCTTTAAAATGTCTTATGGAAAGCTTGGGTCACGAAAGCTTGCCAATATCAGCACTAGAAAAAGCTGGAGCATTGTAGATGAATAGAGTGGACAGGTATTACATTTATATATTATGTCAAAAAAAAACAATGCAATTTTATATCGATATTCTCTTTAGTAAATTTGCACTTCATATTGTGAACATTGTGTTGCGATTCTTACTACCAACAACTGATCTAATGCCTTTTAATTTTTTCCAGAAACTGTTCCCAGGCCTTTCATTAGGAGTTCCCCGCTGCACTTTAACCTGTCTGCTGACTCCTGCAACATCACAGTCAACTGCTCCGTCCAGGGTGACTGGGTATGTTCTGTGTGTGACGACAACAGTTGTATAACATCTCAGAGAGCATTATTCAGCAAGGTCAACATCACCATCTTCCTCCACAACAGAGTTATTGTATGCAGTGTCAACAACAACGTCAGCAAGAGCAATGTTTCTGAAAGCATGGAGGGAATGTGTAAGTATTTTGTGATTCTTAATTTGTTAATCACACACTTTGAATCCAGAAAATATGTATGCAGGTCTTTCTTTCTATGACATTTTTGAACCACCACCTCATCCATTTAATACCTCAGTCGTTGCAGGTATTATCTGTTAAAATGTGTTTTTATGTCTTTCCAGGCTTTGGAAAATCTAATCCTGAACCTGAAGTGACATCAAAACTACACATTGTAATACTTATATGTATTGCATTGTGTGTATCCCTCTGTGCCTTTGCTGTCTGTGTGGCTAAAAGGCTCTTTCAAACAGAATGTATTCAAAAACAGGTAAGATAGATTTACTTATTTATCTGGGGATGTAAGAATATTGTTTATTCCATTTGAATCCAATGTTTTCAGGTCAATGTCACTAAAACCTTTCTCTAGATTTCTCAAGATCTAGAGTTTTGAGACGCTAGGAGGTGTTTATCTTAGTATGCTACATATTGATTTTGCAATACAAAAAAACACATTTTACTGCATTTTCTTTTTGTCACAGACATCTCCTGCTCGGATAATACAAAGCCAGCCATCGGAGGAACAGCCAAACTCTGTGCAGAGAGTCTCTTCCTCTACTTCCAGTCAAGCCTGTTATGAAAACGTGGATGATGCATTGCCCTGTCAGACGAGCAGCCCAAACATCAGCCCAAGAGAGGAGCTGGGATCTAAGCGGGAAGTGGATACAGTCTACAGTGTTTTAGAGAGACACAATACAACATCCCATCAAGGCAAAAGCATTGAAGAAACTATAGGACATCAGGCAAAACATGAGGCAACAACTTCACAGGAGCAACCTTCGCAAGTCGACACGGTGTACAGTTTGTTGCAGAAGAAAACAAATGTGAAGTCATAGCACCACCAATAGGTCAGACAAGATTTTCAGAATACCTAAAAACTGGAGGATAGATCTTTTGTACAGTGTGTTTGATTCCTTTCAGAGCATTATGTTAAGCCTTTTGTTTTTGTTTTTAATAAAAAAAGCTACCTTAAATTACATTTTGTTATTTATTCAATAATACAAATGATTCTATTGAAACGAATATTAAAGGTGGGGTATGTCATTTATTTCAGAAACACTTTTTGTCATATTCCTTGGAATGCTCTTAACATCCCGATAGCAATGAATATATTAAATGCGTTGACAATAAATCCATAAAAAAATGTCATCTGTGGAAGCCGTAGCGCTGTAAAAAGCACGACCAATCATCTGAGCCGGCCCGGCTAAAGTAACTGGATGGGCCTACCTGCCTGTCAGCCTTCCACCTGTGCACAAACTTATCTCGTGCCCTCATTGGTCATGTGCGCGTTCGTGTGTGTTGGAGGAAGGGCTTTATAAGGAGGTGGCAGATTTTTCAAATTCTAGCGCACTCGAGCTGGTTTCTCCAAAATTACATACCCCACCTTTAACTGAAAACATACTGGAATTTCTCATGTGTTTGTCACAAATATTTACAGAAGCACAAGTAGTATGTTTGTAACATGCTTGTCGTTCAAACAAAGCATTAAATCCTGATAAATAAAAAAAAAAAGCAAATATTTGATTTCGAACACACTTCAAAAGGACCTCAATACAAAGCAGTGAACCGTAGCTCTTTGGGTATTAGAAGTGAAAAATGGTAACTAAATCCCTATTTTGATTTTAAATGTTATGTATTTTCTTTTAGGACTTAACTTTGAGCATGTTAAGTAATTTCAGAAGTTGAATACACAGTACAGGGATCCTACATTGTTCAATTGACTGATACTGTTCACCTCCTTAGCTTTGCACTGCTGCCTGGGTGGGGTGAAGACATTAAATTAAATACTAAAGCTTTACATTTTGACTTCTCACTGTTTTTGGCTACATTAATCCCTGGATTACAACATTTAAAATACACAACTAGTCTTTTGGTATTTATTTAATTTGATCATTTTCGTCGGCTTTTTAAAACTGTTGTGATCCAATTCGCACCTAGAATAAAAATATTTTCCATATCCAAATTATGGCTTTGTTACTTATGACCCCTTAAAGTAGATCTATCTCTAGAGGAGGGGGCATGACTTTGGCTCTTTACACTCACATCTGGAAAGAGACTAGGAGAATTTCTCCTAGAGATGTAAAAAATATGTGATTGGAAAAATGTTCTTTTTGGTGAGAAAGCTCATGGATTATAAAGTGAGTAGGACAATTTATCTATACTTACTTTCTGTGTACTTATATTTAGTGTAAAACATTGTACTACAACATTATTTGTTACATGTCTGATTCAGATCATGTGGCTCGAACCTTGTTGTACATTTGGTGATATTAGAGCCGCTCTGTTTTGTTAGCTTTGTCTAAAAGGGAAGGAAACCCAGGCCGTGTAAAGAAGATAAAAAACAACTTCCTTTTCCAAAATGTCATTGCATTTGTTTCTCTGTAGTTCCTGATTCCTCTTCATGCTGCAGTTTCAATCATTCTATTTACACAAAGTAGAAGAATTTCTCATGAACAGTGGAACAGATTCTCAGTGTTGGATGTGAAGATGGGACACACTTTGCTCTCTCTACTGGGGTTTTTCTGTGAGTACTTTTACAGTTTTAATTTCCATTGTTACATCTTTATAAATGCCTGAGGTTATGATATGTTTGATTTCTTTAATTTTAATAATGTCTGATGTAGTTTCAAACTTATTTTAGTGCTGAGTTTACTTTACCGTGGACAAGCTCAAGGTAATTATACCATTTTCTTTCTTGTTGTTTACCAAATAAAGTAAAATCTACCTATGTCACTCTCCAAACAACATCCTCTTTTTTTGTGTGTTCCGTTTTATCAATGTATTATAAATGTTTTGACAAAAAGAAAATACATTTTACTTCATGTATCTTGTGATGGTTTCTAGATGCTGTGCTGACCATTGAGCCAAACTGGACAACTTTTTTTTCTGGACAGTCTGTTACCTTCAAGTGTGACATTACAGGAGGCAAAGACAGCGACTGGTATTACTCAATCCACAACCAGCATGGAGAAGTTTTCTCTCCCAGCAATCAAAACTTCAGAACATTACAACCTCTAACTTCAGGCTACAGTGGTGAATACCAGTGCTTGTTTCAGAACGGGGGATCAACAAAAATAAGCAATAAAATCTATCTAACTGTATCAGGTAAGTTATCAAAGTAATACCACCATGACCAAGTTCATTAAAACAATTTATTTTAATTAAGGAGCCATGTTAATACGAACACACAGTTTGGACAAGTTCTAATATATAATCTGTAAATTATTTTAATGTTTTAACGTTTGAAGAGCTCCACTGACGCTGTATAGGCAGGTGAAGTATACTATAAAATCCTGTGCTTTGTGTTTTCGCAAATTCAAGAGTATTAAAATAAGAAACAAAATACTTCTTACAAAACTCAGCTTCTTACATCAAAGTATTTACATTAAGATAATACTATACCAAGAAACTTATACTTTTGTTAATTGTGACAAATTATGAAGAAAGACCAATATATTCGAGAAATTAATCCGACTTAATGTGCTTAACACTATTCAAAGGGTGCGGGTAAAAATGTATTCCTTTTTCATGAAATGTGAAAATGTATTCTTAATAACTGGAAGTATTTCTTTGTACTAATGTATTAATTGAGCTGTTTTACTAAAACAAGTAACCATTTGTGTGACACAGACAGAATCGTGATCCTGGAAAGTCCTGCATCCACTTTGTTTGAAGGAGAATCAGTGACTCTGCTCTGTCGGCATCGTATTCAGAGAGAGGAGAATGCTGCCTTCTACAGAGACGGATCATTAATCACAACGGACAGAAACCACCAGTCACCATTAATGACAAAAAACACCGTTCAAGTGATGTCAGACGGGAGCTCTTACAGTTGTAAATTTGGCGATGAAGAATCTGAACTGATAAAACTGAAAACTGAACGTAAGTAGTTTTCATACCTAAAAGCTTCAGACATTTAGTAATCCCAAAATGAAACATAATTATATTTTCTGCCTAATCTTAGAAACACAGGACAATGAACAAAGAAAAAAAAGGCTTTTTAAATGTTCACCCCGTTTTATGGCCGTTTCTACTCAAGGTTAACCTACTACTTCAGTGGTTATAAATAGAAATATAAGCATACTTATTTCTCTATATTTTCACTATAACATACAGTGATTTAATATTACTAAGAGTGCTGGATAAGTTATACATTTGTATTATTTGACAAGCTAGGCTTATTTAAAGGGACAATAACTAACATTTTGTAAACATTTGTACCTGTATTCTACATTAAACAGCAAAACCAAAGGCCCAGTTGAGAGACATATTTCCAGGAGGGGGCAATGTGACTCTAACTTGCTCTGTAGGACCATCATCAGCTTCTGGTTGGAGATACTTCTGGTACAAAAAAGGGAAAACCTCTGAACCCCTGAAGACACAAGATGTTGTTTTCCTCACAAATGACCGAATCAGTGTCTCACGAGGAGGCGTCTACTGGTGCAGAGGAGGAAGAGGAAACCCTGTTTACTACACAGAGTACAGCGATGCAGTCGGTAATTAAACATTTAATATTATGTCTTCAAGAAAATATAAATTATAATATTTGAAAGTAAGGATTAAGAAGGTTGCTAACAAATGTATATTTGTTTGATTTTTTTTATATTTAGTATTTTGTGCTTCTTCCTCTAACAGTCACAAACAGGGCTGTTGTGACCCTGCGACCCAACTGGCCTGAGATA